ATATATACATATGTATATATATAGTTGTGAACCTCGATGTCACTCAAAACTCGATTCAACTGCAATACAACGCCTTGCGAAAACAACAAATTAGCGAGTGCTATCCATAGTTTTCCAAAAACAAATTCTAAAGTTTAATAACGCCAGCAAAACTCCAACAACAATTAACAATGAACATTTTGTGAGAGAATTGCAGGAATAAAAAATCATGATTTAGCTCTAAGTCGTATTTACGTATTGTAGCAACAACAACAACAACAAAAACAATATTAACAATATTCAAGTATTTGTAACTGTACACACACACACACACACACACACAGAAACACATTCTCGATAACGAAATCTAAAGTCAAGAAATTATACAAGGAAAACTTTTCGATCATCAAGTGTTAAGTTCCCCCCTTTTCTACGTACATATATTGTGAATTGGCAGCGCTGTTTTTCATATTAAGCTGAATTATACATTTTAGTTATTAGGTTAACGCTAAGTATGCTTATGCGACTGAATTTAAATTAATTAAATGCAAATTGAAAAACCAGAAATAATCCTCTGCATTTCATTAAAGGTGTTTAAAAATACGTTATTCGCTATGTTGACGGCGACAAGAATAATCATCGATTAGCTGCCAATCGATCTGAGATAGTCGGATATTTACAAAAATCGAAATATATTTGTTATTTAGCCGATGGCGCTCATTTTGACACATATTATATAAAAGGACTTTCGCAAATTTATTTCTTTCCTTTCTTCGGCTTTTTCTTTTCGGGTGGAGGTGGTGGCGGTGGTGGTGGAGGTGGAGGCGGTGGCGGAAGTTTTTTGGGTTCAAGCACACAGATTTCGTTAATTACCTTCTTATGCATAGATTCTTTGCGTGTTATTGAAAGAATGGGTACACGATGCCAATTTTCAATATACGAACTTGGATACACCTGGACGTCGCAGCAGTTCGAAATCAAGATTATATTTGAACTATCCGTAATTGAGTCACGTAAATACATTGCCCTACCACACACACCACAATTGCGCACATTTCGACGTATCCGAAACTTCATAGGAAATGCACGTCCAGCCAAAAGTTCATTATTGAGGTAAACACAATTCTTATAAGTAGGCTTTGGCCGAGGACGCTTCGTCCACTATTGAAGAAAAATTACGAAATTTAACATATAGAAAGTAAATGCCTATAAAGACATACCTCTTCTAAGTGAAGCATAGCTGGTTTCAGTGGGCTGCATTTTGCTGAACAAAAATTATCTTTATGTTCAGCTTCTCCGGCCTCACGTAGATTGCAGCATTTTTCTCGTTTAGGAGAAAGGGATGACGATGCACATAGACGGTTTGGATCTATAACACGTCTTGTTGGAGGCTCTGGCTTGAGAATTGCTTTCACAATGTTTTCATCTTTCGTAATGTTTTCCTCTTTCACAATGTTTTCCTCTTTCACAATGTTTTCCTCTTTCACAGTTTGTTCCTCCTGTGGTGGAATTTCTTCGGGAGGCTTGCATTCTGGACAATTTCCTTCCAATGGCTGAAAGCAGCTCGGTCTAGGTGGTGGTTTTACTTTGTTTCTGTCCCTCCATTTGTCGCAACTACTCTCCTCCATTGAAAGTTTGTGATTTTCCCTATTCCATTAAGGTGTTTTAATTTGGAACTTTATTTTAGATCGAATAACAAATATACAAAGATACAAAAGTAACTGAGATTAAAGCAAAATTGAAATGTCCGTTTCTGTCGTATCGATACATCGATTGCTAGATGTTTCCTAAACCAACACTTTGCAGCACTGCTCACTGGACAATTTAGAGCACTGCCTTATATCGACTCATCTCTAAATTTCGCGCTTCAGCATTTGATTGCGGTAAATATTTGGCATGCAAATTGTGCAATGGAGCTGCCAGTTTCCGAATTTAATATACGTGATTTGGTACGTGACCTATACGGTCGTGCCTTAAGTACAAAAGGCTCAAAGCAGGAGCTACTCGACCGCCTAGTGGCAGCACGGCACGAGAAAGCCGAGGCACAGGCCCAGGGCTATGTGCGACCCGGCCGGCCACCAGTTTCCAAATTTGGCGTTTGTGTCCAACCGGATGATTTTGCCAATATTGAATGCATGACAGATGATGAGTATACGGCGTATTCAAAGAAGGTGCAATGGCGTTTGCGGCGCGTACATAAAACATATGATAATATGGGTTTGGAGTACTATCATCCCGGAGTGCTGCATCGCATTGACCGAAGCAAGACATATACCCTGAACTTAAATGAGTTTTGGGTGCGTAAGGAACCGTATGTGCATAAGGTACTTAACTGAACAATATATTTAAATATATATATAAACATTTGAACAACATTTTTGTAGATGTTTGTTGTGTTTGTAACGCGTGCCAATGCCGAGGAGCAGCGTCTGTGCTACGCCCGAAGCTTGGCCATGCTGAGGGATAAGAACTTGACTGTGGATCGACTGAGAATGCCTGTAAGCTAACGTCTTATATAAAGAATTTATCTTTTAAACAATTATATTGCAGCTTATTCGAAATGATGAAATGGGCAAAGCTTTATCAAATATCATGCTGGAAATCGAGGATAATGGCTTAGAGAATTATGTAGCTATTGTTGCGCCCAAACAGCAATTGCTTCTGCAAGCTCTGCAAGAGCTTAGAAGAGTGACTAGGAAAAAGTTGCCACCGATTGTCTTGGATAGTTGCCAAGTACACAATATATTGGAAAACAATTTTTGTGCAAAATCTGCGCGTTGCCTATATCAGCTACAACATGAGAGATTTACGGAAAACACCTACAAGCAACAACTGGAACGAACTCAAGAAAACTACACACAAAATGTTACTGCCGCTGCTTTGTTAAAGGAGTACATGAAACCATTGCCTGATGTCCTGTTAGCCATGTGGAAAGTTGAAGAGCATAAAGGGCAGGCCATATGCTTGGCTCGTTTGAGTAACGAAAGATTGAATGTCTATTGCGCTCAGGCGCAAAATGATTTACCGCCAATAACATTTGAAGAGTGCACAGCTGGCGCAGGTTTGCTCCAATTGCTGCTCTTCGATGCCTTGTGGTGTCTGTGCGATGCCAATGAAATCGAGGAGAACAATACGACGGCTATACTAGAGCCGCCACTGCCCGATGAGTGGCTGCCCTTATTGAACTGACTTATAGTAGGCGCTTATCCCTCGACCCTCACTCGTAAATAGAGCAGCTCACAATCCATATAGCTGTCAAGTTTATATGTCTTTGAAGATAAGCGCCAGACTGGATATAATCTGGGAGTCTTTATTGTGGAAAATTACGTCAGATAACAGTACATATTAGATATTTTTAGATATTCTCATCAAGCTTTTGCAGCTGCAGCGTGCTGCCCAAGTCTTTTAGTGTGATATCCTCCAAGCTCTTGGCTTTCTCGTCGTCAAAGATTTTGAGATGCTTGGCATGATACCAGACCACAATGTTCATAAAACCACCCAGCAATATGCAAGTGCCAGCCGCCAGATTTAAGGCGTATCTGAAAATACATCAAAGTGAAGATTATATGGCCAAAATGTTGGAAAAGGCATCAGCATGCACCCACCTCAAGGATACGGTGTCGTAGAGCCAGCAGTTGCCTTTGTTGCTGCACGTCTTGCCCCACACCAAGCAATATTTATCTATCAGCCAGCCATAGAAAATGGGACTGGGTATGAAGCCGAACAGCGAAGCCACCATGCTGCCCAAGCCCAGGGCAAAACTCTTGTCCTCCGGCGGTATGCACCGCAATGCTATGAGCAGATTCGTTGACTTGCTGCTGGCACCGACGAGCTTCAGGAAACACATGACGCCCAAGAAAAGGAGAAACTGATTGAAGCAGTCCACATGACAGGCGCCATCCACAGCATACTGCAACTGTGAATATAAACTATGAGTTTGTAGATCCGATGCAATAATCGAATTAATGTTCAATTTACTTCAATTCCAGTTGTTAAATTTGTTGGATTAATGCAGTCACAGCCCGTGTATAGAGTGCGCTCCAGTTGATCCTTTGTTTTGGCCGTGCAACCAGCATGGCAGGCGGATATATAGGTCACATTATCGGGACTGCAGATGGGCGCATAGTGCACATATTCACAGTGACAGGAGACGCTGCAGCTACCATCCACTGTTGCCATGGAACTCAGTTCATCGCTGCCCTTGCAGCCAATGGCAACAAAGCCCAAGATGCCAGCGACTGTCAAAAAGTCCACCGTAGCATTCCAGGCAGCCAAGGCTCTGGCACTGGGCTTGTACTTGGACACAACAAACCCAGAGAGCAGCACGCCCGCCGCAGAGAAGCCCAGAGCTACGGTACCCGTGGCCATGGTGGCCATCGAGGCCGATTGCTGATATTGGGTCTCAATGTACTTGGGCGTGAATATCCAGTAGACCATGTAGCCAAAGAAGTAGAGTATGGAGGCAATCGTATTGTACACATAGACCTTGTTTGTTGCCAGCAGTTTGATCGAGTGCCACATGTAGCCCAGTGAGAAGTCCATTTCCACAGTTGTATTTGGTTCGCCAGCCTTTCGGTATTTCAAGCGTCTGGCCTTCGAGCTGGGCAGCTCCTTGGGAAATAGTGTCATAACAAAGGCAATTAGGGCTGTCATGGCGGCCAAGATGAGCCAGCCTATCCACCAGGCGCCCAGCCAACGAGGATCTTCGGGCTTGATCAATGGCTCCGCTGTCGGCTCTATATACCAGCGCAGGCAAAGCGAGGCCAAGGAGTAGCCTATGGCAGGACCCAGCATGCGTAGAAAAGTGGAGAAGCCTGGAAAGTAAGTCAGATAGTTAAACAATGCAAATGATCTATAAATTCCGTTCCGGCTTTACTGAGCATTGCTGGCGTCTTGGACTTGGTGGTGTTGTCATCCATGTAGGCCAGTCCCACGACTAGAAATAGCGCCTGACCAATGCCCAAAATGAATTGAGCTAGAAAGAGAATCATTTGTGGCACCCAAACACTATCCTCCTGTATGCAACTCGATGTCTCATTCATGCACAGCTTCTGATCTCTCTGTGAACTAGTTAAATGTCCACTCAAGTTCTGATAAGCTCCATGATCACGCGTTAGTTTCAAAGCATCCTCGCCAGCGCCATAGATAAAGTGCAGCGAGCAGTTTAGCAAACAAAATATGACGATTGTAAACAGACCTGGAAGTGGGATTTACTTTAATTTGAGAAGTTCTTTACATAATTTTTAAAATTATATATTGTATATGTATATTTACCCAAACCCATCCAGCGTGGTCGATGCACTTTGCGCAGATAATAGCCAGTCAAGGCCGAGGCAAACATGGTGCTCATATCGTTGCCCACCGAAATGATGCCCAACGTCTTTGTGGGTATCTTGTAGCGCTTCTCCAGTGTGGTAATTGTGCCATTGAAATAGGCAAAGCACATGGCCATGAAACAGCCAGCGATGCCATAGATGGTCACATACATTGTCTCTGTGGCGAAACTGCGAAACATTCATATATATAATTATTTCTTTGGGTAAATATTCACTCGGCTCTACCTCTGCAGCGTAGGTCCTTTGAATATCCAAAAGCCGCAGGTTATATCCTTGCCATCATCTAGATTTTCGCTTAGCTCCTGCTCCCGCCTGGCGTCCTCTAACTCCTGCTCCTTCTGATCGATGGCCGTTAGCTTGCTTTCCTTTAGAAATGGAGCCACTTCTCTTGGATCCTTTGTATCGTCGCTCATCTTGCTGAACTCTCTCCATTCAAGTGCCCTGTGATACTGATCTAGATTTTCTCTAAGCTATCAATTAAAATGAGATTTGCATTATCTCTGGGCATCAATAAAAACGGCCTTTCTGATTACGTAGATGCAATTTATGAATGTTGCAGCCTAACTAAGCTGACACGCGATAAGATCATATATATAAACAGATGCAGCATATAAACATACTAAGCTAATTAGCCAACTATATCTAAATCTATTTCGTGCTTAGGTTAAACCCATGTCAAAATCTAATTTCATCACTTCCATTAACTTTATTTAAAGCTGCTTGACAAGAGCTTTGGCTCTTTGACTTTTTGAAGTAGCTCAGCATGAGCTCTGATATATTTCGCTTATCTCTTTTTGTTTACCTCAGACACACACACACTGAGGTATCATTTAGTTGAGCCACTATTATAAAAGTAATCTAATAAATATTTGCTTTTATTTTTAGATTGTTGGAACAGCAATGAGACAAACTGAAACTTCTTTCAATCTCTGCCAAATCGCCGCAAATGATCATACGATCTTGTCTTACTTGTCAAACCTATTTTATTGTTAAATTCTGTTTTCTGTTCTCTATTTCCTATTGAAAATGGGAAATCAGAGTGTAATGGTTTAGCTAAATTTATGTATTTCCTTTGAGTATTTCCTTTAAGTATTTCCTTTCCCAGTATTTCCACCAAGAATTTCCTTTAACTATTTCCTCCTAGTCCTTAATGCTTTGCTGAGCGATCCCACTTTACTTAACTGCATTGCACGTTAAATCCCCACCGGACCTGAGCTACTGAAAAAGTGCTGCAGCTGCTGCCCTTTATATAGAGCGACTTTCACTCAAAGCCTGAGAAGCGCTCAAACGTTGAGGCTGGCGTCAGGTAGGGCTCCTTACAGTCGAGCTTCAACTGACCAATGCGAAGACTCTCTGCTGCGTCTCTGCATTCTAGCTTTGTTTTAAATACCAAATGAATACTTCTGCATACATATAAACAATCCAAACGATCTTCTGTAGCACTTCTTCATCTCTTACTTTTCTTAGGCAGAGAAACAGACGGAGAGATAGACTGTGTAGTTTTTTTCTCTACTTACATTTCTATTTTTAATTTTTCGCTAACTATTTCACAAACTAATTATGATTTTGTAAATGAATCTTTTCTATAATTTTAACATTTAATATTTGTTTTAATGACTCACAGAGTTTATTAATATTAGATTATTCTTAAGACTTTTCTACATCTCTTGTTGCTTCCGTATCTTTGGCTTTGGTTTCCAAGTTAAAGCTATCGACTTTACTATCAGCTTGATCCGTTTCATTTGGCTCCTCATCAAATATGAGCAAATCTGAGGCATTGCGGTAGACGCCAATATTCAAAAGACCGCCAAGGAATATGAAGAACGCTGCAGTCAAGTTGAAGGCGTATCTGAAGTTTAAATAGAAATAAATTTAAGTAAGCTACAAATTGCGTGAGCAAAACATTAGCTTGCCTTAAGGACTCCGTGTCGTAGAGCCAGCAGTTGCCTTTGTTGCTGCACGTCTTGCCCCACACCAGGCAATATTTGTCCAGAAGCCAGCCGAAGAAGACGGGACTGGGCACAAAGGCAAACAGAGAACTGATCAAGCCGCTCAGACCCAGAGCAAAGCTCTTGTCCTCCGGCTGTATGCAGCGCAGGGCTATCAGCAGATTTGTGGACTTGCTGCTGGCACCAACGAGCTTGAGTATGCACATCACAACGAGGAAGATGAGGAACTGGTTGGTGCAGTCCACGGGACAGGCGCCATCCACTGCATACTGCAACTGTGAATATAAATTAAGAGTATTATTATCATAGATCAGGTCCAATAATCTAATCAAATAATTTACCTCAACGCCAGCTGTTGTATTCTTTGGATCAATGCACTCACAGCCTGTGTACAAGGTGCGTTCGAATTGATCCTTTGCCGTGCCCGTGCAACCAGCATGGCAGGCAGATATATAGGTGACATTATCGGGACTGCAGATGGGCGCGTAGTGCACATACTCGCAGTGACAGGAGACCCCACAGCTGCCACTGACTGTTGCCATGGAGCTCAAATTGTCGCTGCCTTTGCAGCCAATCACAACATAGCACAAAACGCCTGCGACAGTCATGAAGTCCACGAAGCCATTCCAGGCAGCCATGGCTTTGGCACTGGGCTTGTATTTGGACACAACATAGCCAGAGAGCAGCACGCCCGCCGCAGAGAAGGCCAGAGCTATAGTGCCTGTCGCCATGCTGGCCATGGATGCGGAGGTTCTATATTGGGTCTCAATGTACTTGGGCGTATAGATCCAGTAGGCCAAGTAGCCGAAGAAGTAGAATGTGGAGGCGAAGGAGTTGTACATGAATACTTTGTTGACCATCAGGCGTTTGATTGAACGCATCATGTCGGTCATGGAGAGCTCCTTGTGCTGCTTGGGATTCTGGATGCCAGCTTCTTCTAGTTGAAGACGCCTTGCATTCGAGCTGGGCAGCTCCTTGGGAAACATGAACATGAAGAAGGAGATTATAAATGTGATGATAGCTAGAAAGACCCATCCAGTCCACCAGGCGCCCAGCCAACGAGGATCGCCAGGCTTGATCAGTGGCTCCAAATGCGGCTCAATATACCAACGCAGACAGACGGACGCCAAGGAGTAGCCAAGGGCTGGACCCAGCATGCGCAGAAAAGCCGAAATGCCTGAGAGATGCGAGAATGAGATAAATGTGTTTGTTAGATAATCTTAAGTAAGCGATATGGTACTTTATGATAGGTCTTTTATCTTATCTCTTAACTCACTCAACAACGCTGGCGTATTCGCCTTCTCCGTATTGTCATCCATATAAGCGACGCCCACAATCCAGAACAAGGATATGCCAACGCCTGCTATAAACTGGGCCACGAACAAAACGATTGGCGGCACCCAAGTGCCATCACTCTGTTGGCATCCCGATTCCTCGGACATGCATAACTTGTGCTCCTTGTGTGCATTCGCCGTGTACTCAGCAACACTTTCGAAATCCCCAAATTCACGTGTGAGCTTTAGGGCATCCTCGCCAGCGCCATAGGCAAAGTGCAAGGAGCAGGTGAGCACGCAGAAAATGAATATCGTAAAGAATCCTGAAAGGCCAAGTACACGAAATTGAAGGACTATTAATGGGGTCAGTTGATGCCCTACTTACCTAATGCTATCCAGCGTGCACGGTGGCCCTTGTGTATGTAGTAGCCAGCCAGCACAGATGTGATCATCATGCTGACATCGTTACCAACTATAATCAAGCCAGATGTCTGTGTTGGGATCTTATAGCGCTTCTCCAATGTCGTCACAATGGCATTGAAATAGGCCAAGGACATGGATAAGATGCAGCCACCGATGCCATAGATTAAGACAAACGACTTTTCCGTTGCCATGCTGTAAATTAAGTAAATCTTCAGTTTATAGCTCGCCTAGCTTAGCTTATCCATAGCCATACCGCTGTAGGAGCGATCCTTTGAATATCCAAAATCCACATCTGATATCCTTGTGAGGTTTTTCCTTCCGTACCTTGCCATTGTTCTGCGTAACACTCTCGAGAAAAGGATCCTCCTCTGCTTGATCTGGTTTCTTTTCGAGACTCATTGTTGAACCGACTCCATCAAAACTTGTAGCCCGACTAATTGCTGACTATTGCCAGACCATTATATCTAGGCCAACAGTTGACAAATTGTGCATCCATAAAGATCAACTAACAATTATTGTTTTAACAACAATAAAACTTTTGCCATATCTTGTATATATACCCCGTTAAGTCAACGAAAATATAGTATAATAATGACATTATCATTTGCATTCACGCGCGATATCAAATTTTTGAGAGGATGAGCCAGCAACTTTGATGAGAGATGAGATGCTTTTTTTAGGTAGATAATGTATAGCCATCTAGATTGGCTGGTAAGCGGGTGTATATAAATAGCTAAACGACATTTTACATTTGACAGTAAGGATATATGTAGAAATATAGAGATCGGGAAAACCGGAGTAACAGGAGAAATGGAGATTTAGAGAGATGAACAGACTGACGGACAGGAACATATTTGGAGAATGGCTAGAGAGGTGAAGAGACTGAGCGACGGGCAACAAAGAGATGGAAAGACTGATGTGGAATAATGGATATGATAGGGCAGATAGACAGAGATAGCGAGATTGTTAGACAGAGAGCTCAACTGCCAGAGGCATAAACAAACAGACAGTTGGATGGAATGGGTTTATTGTTGCATTGAATGGGTGCATTAAATTTATATTCACAACCTTGTACCGTTCTAGATAGATAACGGCTATAATTACATATTGTTTTATGTAGTTCACTGCATAGATTATAAAAGTCACCCTTTAACACCTTTTTGAAACTCGCGTGCTACTCTGTTTATCTCGAGCAAATTTGATAAGCCGAAAAATCGCAAATCACTCGGCTAACCTCCGACTTTGTATTTGCTTATGTTACAGTTAATATTTGCTAAAGCTTTTTAATATTTAGATATCAAATATTATTTTTATTTTACTTCGCTAGGTGACAGTTCGTTTAATTCAAATTGTTGTGAGTTCTTTTTGTGTTTTGCCTCTTCTGGCTCTGTGTCGAATATTTGTAAATCTTTGGCATGATACCAGACGCCAATGTTCCAAAAACTGCCAGCAAATATGAACGCAGCAGCCAAAAGATTTATAGTATAGCTACATAGAAGAAGAATTTATGTAGCTGTAAATATGAGCGAATAGTTTTTTGGTCTTACCGTAAGGATTTGGTATCATAGAGCCAGCAATTGCCTTTGCTGCCGCACGTTTTGCCCCAGACCACGCAATAGCTATCCAAAATCCAGCCAAATAAAATGGGACTGGGTATAAAGCTGACTATGGAGGCGATTACATTCCCCAGACCCAGGGCAAAGCTCTTGTCCTCAGATGACACACAGCGCAAGGCCAACAATAGGTTAGCTGTTCTACCAGAGGCGCCTATGAATTTCAGCAAACACATAACGCCTAGGAAAATGAGAAACTGTTTATAGCAATCCACCGGACAGGGTCCTTGTCGTGCATATTGGTACTACGGGAGAGATCAGAGGAAAGACAATAAGATTTTTTGGATATGCAGAGTGTAAGCCAAGTTAAAGTTAAGATTATGCTTTGGAGGTCTATAGTAGTAAGTATTACTTAGACCTTGGAGTAAGCAATTTAGAAGTAAGTTAGTATAAGAGTCTAGTATTACATCTACTTATATCTAAGCATACCAAAGGGAGTGTACAATTAGCACTGGTAGACTTACCTCTGTAGCATTTGCGATATCCAATGTGCCAATGCACTTACACCCTGTGTAGATGAGTCGACCCAGTTCATCCTTCAGTTTACTGTTGCAGCCGGCATGACAGGCAGATATATAGGTAACATTATCTGGACTGCAGATGGGCGCGTAGTGCACATATTCACAGTGACAGGAGGCGGTGCAGCTGTCAGGTGTGCTTGGCGACATGGATGTCGCCTTATCGCTGTCAGCACAGCCGATGAACACATAGCACAAGATGCCTATTACCGTAGATATATCAACAATGCCATTCCAAGCGGCCATTGCCCGGGCACTGGGTTTGTATTTGGAGATTACATAGCCGGAGAGCAAGACACCGGCTGCCGAGAAGGCCAGAGCGACTGTACCCGTTGCCATGGTGGCTGTGCTAGCCGATTGTTGATATTGGGTCTCAATGTACTTGGGCGTAAATATCCAATAGGGCGTATAGCCGAAGAAGTAGAGAATGGAGGCAATGTTGTTATAGACATATACCTTGTTTTTGGCCAATCGTTTGACGGATTGCATCATATCGGCGAGGGATAACTCTGTCACTGAGTGAACCCCAGTGTCGACTCCATTTGCTTTCAACCGTCGAACCTGAGCACTGGGCAGTTCTTTGGGAAACAAGTATAGAAAAAAGGCAGAGATCAGCATTATAATCGTCAATATAATCCAGCCCAGCCACCAGGCGCCCAACCAACGCGAATCCTCATTGGTGATAAGCGGCTTCAGTTGCGGATCTATGTAGAAACGTAGACAAACGGAGGCCAAGGAGTAGCCAAACGCTGGACCCAACATGCGCAGAAAAGCAGACCAGCCTGTGAAAGTGAGAAAACAATGAAGAGAGGCTTAAGAAGAATAGATCGGAAACTTACTAAGCATCGCCGGTGACTTGGACTTGGTTGAATTGTCATCCATATAGGATAGACCCAGTGTGTAGAAGAGTGAACATCCGATTCCAGATATAAATTGCGCCACGAACAACAAAATTATGGGCGCCCATTCACTCGCGCTCTGCACACAGTCGGGCAATCGGGATTGACAGAGTGTGGGATCCTCCTGGGTGGCATTAAAAACACTTGTATTCAAATATTCGTGGGTGAGCTTTATAGCATCCTCGCCAGCGCCGTAGATGAAATGGGGAGATGCCATCAGCAGGCAGAAGATCGCCAAGATGAGAAGCCCTTGGAATAGAAATAGAATATTAGAATGGAGAAGAAGATGTACCAAAAGAGAGAGATATATAGGGATATATAGGGTGAAAGAGGAATGTGGAGAGAGAGAGAAAGAGAAGTAGTAAGAGAGATTGGGAGATACCGATTAAGAGAGAGCTAAGTAGAGAGGAAGTAGAACAGATTGAGGAAAGCAGACAACTGGATTACTAGAGAGGAGAGGCGGGAGGAGGGATAAAAAGAAAGAAAGAGAGGGAAAGAGAGAGATAGGATAGGAGAGAGAGAAAAGAAAACACACAGCGCGAGATTGATAGGGAGACTGTAGAGAAAGAGAATGAGACATAAAGGAAGATTGGGAGAGAGAGAAAAGCAGGGAATGAGGGATTTACCTAGAGCAACATATTTCGGTCGATGTCCGCGACCCGCGTAGTACCCTAAGAAGGCGCAACTCAACGTTGTGCTTATATCGTTGCCCACTGTTATGATGCCCGATGTCTTAGTGGGTATCTTATAGCGTTTCTCCAGCGTTGTAATCGTGCCATTGAAATAGGAAAATGCCATGCCTATAAAGCAGCCGGCGATGCCGAACAGCACCATAAACATGTGCTCCGTGGCCCAGCTATAATGGTAATTACATGAAAACTTAAAAGAGAAATGTTTTCCTTATGAAAATACCGTTGAATGCGTGGTCCTTTGAATATACCAAAGCCACATTGGGTATCTGAGGTGGGTAGCTCCCGTTTCGCATCCTTTTTGTCATTGGGAGCTTTCAGGAATTCAGTCACTTCATTCGCCTCATCTGCCATTGTCGAACTACAGAGCCAAACTGAACTTTGGCAATTTCTAAAGTTCATAAAGTGCAACTATAATTATGCACAACATGTAACCACTGTCTATATCTATATAATAGCTATAAAGTCTTGTAATTAACGTGATCCCACGCGAAAACTTAATTTTAAGATAAGTTGTCTAGGCTTCTGTACATATGCTTTATGCACTGTCTGCCCGACTTTTATGTAGATTATTTAAATAAAGACGATAAAAACAGTAGATACTCGCTAAAGATGTCGCTTTGCAATGTCTCTATTAATACCTAAAATTTTTCATATAAATAGATAATATGTTACATTATCACTAAGTAAATTTATTGATTTTCATAMAGAATTCTTTGGAATTTCTTAGCGGTTTAGCTTAACGTGTGACCACTGTACGTATGTTACTATAGTGAAATAAGAGCCTTGACGGTTGCATTTATCACACGATCTTAGCCGTCATAATAGTTTATTATTCCGACAGACTCGCAATAATTAAAATCTCGCATATATAGGCACCAAAATCACTCACAATCTTTAGCTTAAAGATAACATTATCTTACAAATATATATAGATATATGTTTAGTTAGTATTTTCTTTTGTTTTGTTTTTTTTTTTTTGTTTTTTGTTTGTTTTTATAAATTATTCTAGTAACTTATATTTCGGTATTCTTTTCTGCATTGACCTCCTCCTCGTGCTGCACTATTTGCATTTCGACTTCCTTGACCTCCTCGTCGAATATCTTAAGATCTTTCACATAATACCAGACACCAAAGTCGAAGATAGCGCCCAGGCTAATGAAAACAGCTGCCGTAAAGTTGAGCGTGTATCTAAATCGAATGCGATTAATAAGAGATCAATCAATAATCATATAGTATGTATAGAACTCACCTCATGGACTCTGGATCGTAGAGCCAACAGTTGCCCTTGTTCGTGCACGTTTTACCCCACACCAGGCACATGCGATCAAAGATCCAGCCAAAGAATATGGGTCCCGGTATAAAGGCAAACATCGAGCATAGCATCATGCCAAAGCCCATGGCCGCCGTCTTATCCTTTTCTGGCACACATCGAACCGATACTAGGAAATTGGATGCTCTGCCCGCAGCGCCAATGAATTTTAGAAAGCACATCACTGAGAGAAACGCGATGAACTGCGTCCAACAGTTGACAGGACATGCGCCTGGCGTGGCCTGACCAGCGGCGAGTTGCTGAAAAAGAGAGAGCAAATATGGGAATGAGTTTATAGGGATCCTTATCTGGTAGTGATTGATTGATTGACTAGGAATGCCAAATAATATTTACTTGTTTCTTGAATATCGGAAAACATACGAAAATGAATAGGAAAGTACTCTAGATCCATTGAGAAAACAAATCTCCCTCGTACTTTTTAGTATACAAAACTTACCTCCAAGTATTCCATGGATGAGGCAGTTTCCAGCGCTTTACCCGTTAGATCTCTACTGTTCGCCTCATTAGCCAAATCCAGTGGAGTAAGGCGATTGAAGGTGCTATTTCTTGTGCCCGGTATGCAGGAGCAGTCATAGAAGACCTACAGAAAACAGTAGAAACTATAGACACAGAAATAGACAGGCTCCATTTCGAAGTACCTTTTTGCCATCGGGTCGTACGTGCTCCATCTTGCAGCCGGCATGGCAGGCGGATATATAGGTCATGCTATTCTCGCCACAGACGGGAGAGTAGCGGACATAGTCACAGGAACAGGCCGAATTGCAGGTGACACTGTCATTCACAGCGCTATTGTGAATATTCACAATGACCGAGCGTTCGTTATCCGGACAACCAATGAATGCATAGGTCACAACGCCAGCGACAACCAGAACGGCACAGATCACATTCCATGCGGCCATGTAGCGAGCCTTGGGCTTATAGCGGGATATGATGAAACCGGAGAGCAGTACGCCTATGGCGGAAAAGGCTAGGGCCACAGTGCCCGTGACCATGCTGGAGGTGGCTGCCGACTGCTTGTACTGCACCTCGATGTACTTGGGCGTAAATATCCAGAACGGCGTATACCCAATCAGATAGAAGATGTTCGAGAGCGTGTTGCACATGTACGTCTTGTTGGTGGTCAGACGCCGGAACGTGACCAGCATATCCTTGAACGAAGCCTTTTGCTCTGTTGCCGATTGCTCAGCTCTCGCTTCCAGATCTGCTGTGAGCTTCTCCTTCTCAGTGCTCTCCTTTTGCTTGAGCGAGTGACGTTCGCGTCGTCGTTTTTCCTCCACCATGCGTCTGGCGGCGGCGCGGGGCAGCTCCTTGGGAAACATCGACAAAAAGATGCCCGAGCATGATAACAGACCGCCCATGACTAACCAGCCTAACCACCAAGCGCCCAGCCAGCGTGGATCCTTGTTGTTGATAACCGGATGCAGTTGCGGTGCGATATACAGGCGCAGACAAAAGGATGCCAGAGCATAGCCAATAGCTGGTCCCAGCATTCGCAAAAAGTACGAGAGACCTGCAAAAAAAAAAACAAGACAAAACAATCATAAAACTGAGATGGGTGAGTGAAATTTGAATACTTTGCTCAGAGCGTCAAATGGGGTATATATGTGTTTGGACTGTCTTTTTTCAGATGGTAAAATGGGGTAAACAAAACTGGAGTTTAAAGTCTTCTTTTCTGGTCTAGCTCTGCATTTTGTGTTTAGTCTTTCAGTCTCTAGTCTAGTAGTCTAGTTGCATAAAATTGTTAGAAGTTTTCGTAATAATGATCTAATTATTTCCTTTCTAGAATTGCTTAAAATAGTTCAGTGTTTAAATATTCCTTTTAAAATATTCTAATTAGGATAATTTAGTATTTTTCATATTTTTCCTCGATTCTTTTTTCTTGAACTTCATAGGTATGCCAAAGGATCTTTCATTTCCACACATACATTAATTTTAAAGGGAATATCCCTAACTTCTTTTACGTTTTCTTAAAATTATATCATGTCTTTCATCAAAAACCTGATTAGTCTCAAGAAGATAATTAATTCTGCTCTATCATTCGAGCTATAACTAAACGAGTGATAAGAAACGGAAGCAGTACTTCTGGCTGTTTACTGAGGAGTAATCTCCTCACTTATCTCGCAGACCAACACGACGCCCGTTCTTTTATTGGAGTCGTAAAGCCATAAGATATGTGATCTGCGCACTATCCACTGGAGCGCCCGTCATTATTATGAGACAAATCGTTTAAGAACTTACTGAGCAAAGCTGGAGTCTTGGATTTTTTCGTATTATCGTCCATATAGGAAACGCCCAGAGTGTAGTAGAGGGAGCCACCGATGCCAGATATGAACTGGGCGACAAACAGCAAAACTTGTGGTGCGAAATTTCCCTCGCCCACTTCGCACTCTGCGCCACCTCCCGAGAGGCGACACAAGGTCTTCGATCGCTGCTCTTCTATGGCCTCCATGGTGGCATTCTCGTCGGGCAGTGCCCCAAACTCCTTGGTCAAGGCCAGAGCATCCTCGCCCGGACCGTAAAGAAAATGCGGCGAGGTGGTCATCAGACAGAATAGAACGATAGTCAATAGACCTGGGGGAAATGTCAGAAATGAGGTAGAAGATGTTGCTGGCATCATTTGTAGATCTTACCAAATCCTATCCAACGCGGCCTATGACCCTTGCCCGCATAGTAGGCCAGCACGGCGGAGACCAAGGTTTGGCTAATGTCGTTGCCCACCGATATGATGCCCGTGTTCTTCGAGGGTATCTTGAAGCGTTTCTCAATCGTGGTTATGGTGCCATTAAAGTAGGCGTACGTCATTGAGAAAATGCATCCGACGATGCCATAGAGCAAGACGTAGGCAGTTTGATTGGCGAAGCTGGGAATTATTTATGTTCGATTAGGATTTAGATGCAGGTCGGCGCTTACTCGGCCTTACCGCTGAAAGAAAGTGCCGCGAAGGAACCAAAAGCCACATGTCACATTCTTCTCCAGCGGCATATCGTTGAGCAGCTTGTTGATCTCCTCGGTCATGAGGCGATCCTGCTCGGACTTTTCGCGCTTTAACTTGGCCTTGATGCGTGCCTGGGCGCCTTTGTTGCTCTTGTTGTCCGTCGTCTCGTGGGCATTGCCATTGTTGAGCAGCTTGTGGAGCTCCTCGGGGGCTTCCGCTGCAGCAGCTGTCGCCTCCTCCGGCTGCTCATCGCTGCGAGCTGTGACCCGTCCCTCGACGGGCGCCTCGCCTTGCACCATTTTATTTTGAATACTTTAGTATGTCTTAATTTTGTTTTTTATGTCGGTTTTCTTTTTTTTAGCAGCACATTGAATTCTTCCGGCTGAGGCACACACCCACACACACAGAGCCGCAATAATTGATATGCACAATAATTCTTAATTGTCAAAATAAAAAACTTTCACGAGCAATTAGCTCCGACTTGCTCTTGGGCTTGACTTAGGGTTTTTTATTTTATTTTATTTAGTTTTTTGTTTTTTGTTTTTTTTGTGTTTTTGGTTTAGTGACTGCAATCGTTGCGCTCTGCCGTTAGTTGATGCTGTAGAGCAACCGCACGCATCACCATTTGCGGATCGAATGGCATGTTGTGCCCAAATTACGTGTGATCTTAACTTAAGTTCTTCACTCTGACTGCGCCCAGTGGACACTCGCTGTCTATCCGACTGAGCGAACACACTTTGTTGACAGTTTGGCTGGGTCTTGTTGGCACAGCGTCTATCAAGCTGCCTGGCCGCTTGTGCGTCGCTTGTTATTAAAAGATTATCTTTTATTGGGCTTTTCACCTCATGCCAGAATCTTCAATCATTTTTGCTGAGCGAAAGATATGAAGATAAATAAATTTCAATGAAACAAAATCTCTGTCTCCATTTTTTTTTTTTTTTTTTTTTGGGCTAACTATGACTATTGTAGAACAAAAATTGATGAAGCTGTAACAGAGTAGTGATAAGAGTTGTAGCTGATCGTATGTAAGCACACACACACACACACACATACACCCATTTATATGTGTATACATAGTTTCATCTGTGATAATGCTCTTGATAAGTTTTGTTTTCTTGCCTTATCATTGTTTGGCTTGTGGCTTAGCATTCGACAGACTTTTGTTTACTTTCATTTTTGCAAATTCATTTAATTGTTTGAAAATAAAGAAGCATATAATTGAAAATATCTTTATAACTGTGAATATTAAATTGTATATGTTTTATATAGTTGCATTTTTCATGGGCATTTCTTAGAAATTCGCTTTATATCGCAGTTGTTCAAGTAATAAGTGAGGCAATTCAAGTAGTACGAATATCTAATTCTATCTATCTTTATTACAATATATGGCTGAAATCCTTTTGCTTAATTTAAATATCTGTCTCTCTCTCTCTCTCTCTCTCTCTCTCTCTTTATCTTTGTTCTCTTTTCTTTCTCAGTTTATGACTTTTTAACTTTATCTGTCTCTCTCTTGTGCCTTACTTTATCTGAATAACTTCTTCATTGTCTATCATTCTCTTTGTTCCACACTGATTCTCGATGTCTCTTTCTCTGTTTCTCTACCTATATATCTTTCCTCTTATTTTTATTTCCCATCTCTCTCTCAATTTGTCTCTCTTCATATCGCTATCATTTTCGCTGCTCTATCTGTCTTTCTCTTTCTCACTCATTTTCTCTCTCCTCTTTCACCGTCTCTCTTGATATTGCTGTCATATTCGCTCTTCCCACTATAATATTAGTCTTTCTTTCTCGTTTTCTTGTACCGCTCTTCTTTCTCTCTCTCTCTCTCATGTTCTCTTATATTTTTCTTCCACTTCCCATTCCTCCGTCTTTCTATTGTTATTCGTACGTAACAAGATCTGCTTTGTCTTATTATATAGTGCATAAATTCCAGGGTATTTAATGTTTAGCTCGTCGTAGATAACAGCTGTATTTTGTTTTCTAAATTTTCCAGATATGTTTACTACATCAACTATAATCTAGTAGAGTTCTAGGCGCTAGTCGCTTTGAGCTCTTTCTCTTGTTATCGCTCACGCTCTATCTCGCTCATTCTCTATCTCTGTCCAACTTTTTGCATTCCCATGCCCATGCTCATTCTTTCTATTATTATTTTGATTTTCAAGAGCCGAGCGCGCGTTAGTGTGAGTGTGAGTGTGTGTAGGTGTGCTCAACGTGTTCTATTATTTAATGCATGTAATGTACATATGTAGGTGGGTAGATATGTATATACAGTATATAGACTATACATTCGTATACAGTATATATGATGCTCGCATGTTCACTTGTGTGTTTATTGTCGACGCCACAATTCACTTAGCATATTTAAATTTTTGCGCTGCTTATCACTTGAACTTTATCTTGATTATGTTGGGCTTGAATCATAATATATATGCTATACGAATATCACTCTCTATATATGCACATACTATATAGAATATATAGTATATACCGAGCATAAATTTACTTTTAAATTAGGGAATTAGCACTTTAGCGAGCCACAGATTTTTCACTGATTTAAATTGTTTCACACCACAAATTGTAGATTAGATCAGCGACTTATAGTTCGTCTTTAACACGACGACGACGACGATATTATCGTAACCGTAAGCGTAGCCATACTAAACTAAGCTAAGCGCTGGATTTGTATTATCTGTGGAAATCTGCTCCAAGTTGTAGCTGAGCAGTTGAGTAGATGAGTGCCTCGCCTTCAAAGCGAATGGAAGTCGAGTCGCGTCTTCAAAAGCTAATTCCAATTCAGCATTGTTTATGTGTGTGTGTGTGTGACTGTGTCAGTGACATCAATTTCCAAGCCGTCGACTTGACAGTGTGTGTGCAGAGCACAGAATTCTTTATTAGATTTGCCAGGCGGTGCTTGCACTTGGATCACAGACAAATTCAAAAGTATCATTTAAGAAACACATATGTGTATAGCCAGGGTTATCAAGGTGAAATTTGATGGGAAAATGCTGAAAAGTTTTCAAAAATGTGCCTAAAGAGTTTATTATTGAGTAGAATAGAGTAGTTTGAGTTCTATGTACAATTTTTGCAGGAATTGGAATTTTAAATTTAAATTTAAATTCATTTAATTTATATTTTTTTACTGTTGTGTGAAATTTTTGATTTGTTGAAAAATTGGATTCAAAATTTTTATATATTTTTCATATATATATTTTTAGAATTCATTTCTTAATGTTAACTGGCAGTTTATTATAGTACTAAAGATATTTTTGAGATTTTTTAAAACACTTCTTTTTTTTAAATTAAAAAAAAAAAACTTTTGTTTGATTAAATATAAAAATATT